AGAAAACAGCTGGAGGGGGAAGGGAATGAAGGAGATGGAGAAGGAAAGGGGGAGAGAGGAGAAGGGAGAGAGGGAGGAAGGAAAGAAAGAAGGAAAGAAAGGAAAGAAGGAAGGCAGAAGATGAAGGAAAGAAGAGGGAGGGAGGAAGGAAGGAGGGAGGGAAGGCAGAATGGGAAAGAACTAAAGGAGGGAGGGAGGAAGGAAGGAAGGAAGGAAAAAGAAGAGGTGGAGAAGGAAGTATGGAAAAGAGAAAATAGCTGGAGTGGGAAGGGAATGAAGGAGATGGAGAAGGAAAGGGGGAGAGAGGAGAAGGGAGAGAGGGAGGAAGGAAAGAAAGAAGGAAGGAAAGGAAAGAAGGAAGGCAGAAGATGAAGGAAAGAAGAGGGAGGGAGGGAGGAGGAGGGAGGGAAGGCAGAATGGGAAAGAACTAAGGGAGGGAGGGAGGAAGGAAGGAAGGAAAAAGAGGTGGAGAAGGAAGTATGGAAAAGAGAAAACAGCTGGAGTGGGAAGGGAATGAAGGAGATGGAGAAGGAAAGAGGGAGAGAGGAGAAGAGAAAAGAGATGAGGAAAGGAGGGGAAAAGGCAGGAGGGGGAAAGAGATGAAGGAGGAAGAACGGAAGGGGGAAAAGAACTGGAGAAGGGAGGGAGGGAGGGAGATGGAGAGGGAAGGAAAGGCGAGAGGAAGGGTAACAAAAGGGAAGAGAAAGGGATGACTGAAGAAATAATGAAAAAAATGTAATCAGTTGGAATGAAGAGAAGTTCATCTTGTACAGTTGAATGAACATGGGGAAGTGAGGTGTGTCAGAAAGTGTGAACTGACAGGTCCCCTCACTTATTGTGGGTGAGCATAAAAGTAGGAATCTATAGGTTGGCAAAAGTTACATGCTTAGTAATTACTGATTGATTGAGTTAAGATACTTAGAGGGTTGTCCATCTTTCACGTCATAACTCTGGGTGGTTCATGCCAACAGCAATAAAAACATAGAAGAAGTGATAAAAACCAACATCCAAACAAAAGAAATCTGGGTGCCTTTAAAACGATCCTCCCCAATTCAAATACAGTCTCTAATCACTGGGCTGCAGCCTCATCCCTATTCCTGCTTTTTAAAAGCTCTTTAAGGAAGACTAAAAAGGGTGGGAGATACCAGATCTGCAGCTGGGAGGACAAGCTTAACCTGGGGAGAACTGGGGCAATAGTCTGAATGAATGTAGGGTGAGGGTGAGGAAGATGATTCCGCTCAATGACATAAAGGGATGGGGAGGTAAAACAGTATAAGAGAATTAATAATAATTTATTAAATTTAAATAGCTTGATATTGGGATGACAGGGTGATTCACACATAAAAAGGAATGAATCAAAAACATGGTTCATTTTGATTACAGGTAGTCCTCGACTTACGACCACAATTGAGCCCAGAATTATGGTCGTAAGTCGGGGCAGTCATTAAGTGAGGTGCCCACATGATTGCTTTGTTTTTAATGACCACAATCCCTGCTTTTCCCATAGTGGTCACTAAGTGGCTCCAATTCTCCCGATCTTAAGTGCTAAGAGTGGATCTATGGGGCGAATAAACATGGAAGGAAAAAAAAGAAAAAAAGAAAAGCGGTGAAAGAAAGAATAAAAGTAGAAGGAGTTCGGGAAGAGAAAAGTCAGAAAATTAGCGCTTAGTTCTTCAATTTTTACAGACTTAAGGCTACTCATTCGTGAGCTGAAAGCGACATTGAGAGAAGATTAAAAAATTTGGCGTGGTGGAAGTTTGTCCCTTGGAGAGACACAGGGTGGAAATGTCCTTATTTTATCCATCATCCCCAGCGCATGTCCTCTCTAACCAATGAATGTGATATCCTTTGGTAATTAATAGCTGCAATGTAAAAATGTAAAAATTGACACACACCCCTTATTTCAGCACTGTCAGAGAGGATAGTCTTCCATTTTTTAACAACAACAACAACAACAACAACAACAATAATAACAATAATAATAATAATAATAATAATAATAATAATAATAATAATAATAATAATAATAATAATAATAAAAAAGTTGGAAGGGACCTTGGAGGTCATCTAGTCCAACCCCCTGTTCAAGCTATAGTATTTCAGACAAATGGCTATCTATCCAGTCTTCAAGACTTTGAATGGCTGAGGAATTCTGGGAGTTGCCAAGTTTGCAAAACGATGTGCTAGACCAATTGCCATAATTTCCAACCAGTGTGAGGAATTACTAAAATTGAATTTCCCTGTAATCTGGGAAATGCTACTTTGAATGTGTTCAAAATGCTATGCAAACACAGCACTTTTTAATCCAGAGGCAGATGACAATACCCTTTGCAGCCAGTAGATGGTGCACACAGATTAGCTAAACCTGATCAGAGGACATACACAGATAGTCCTGTATTTACAACAATTCCTTCAGTGAGTGTTCAAAGTTACAACAGCACTGAAAAAAATGATTTATGATGTTTTTCACAGTCGTTGCAGCATCCCCCTGGTCAAAATCCGGATGCTTGGCAACTGGTTCATATTTATGACGGCTGTTCATATTTATTTATCACATGATCTGCTTTTGCGACTTCTGACAAGCAAAGTTAATGGGGAAGCCAGATTCACTTAACCATGTTTACTAACTGAACAAGTGCAGTGACTCACTTCACAACTGTGGAAAGAACGATCGTAAAATGGGGCATAACTCACTTAACATATGTCTCACTTAGCAACATACAAATTTTGGGCTCAGTTGTGTTCTGCTTTGTGGCTGCCACAAAGAAGAGGGAGTCAAGCTATTCTCCAAAGCGCCTGAAGGCAGGATAAGAAGCCACGGATGGAAACTGACCAAGGAGAGAAGCAACCTAGAACTAAGGAGAAACTTCCTGACAGTTAGAACAATTAACCAGTGGAACAACCTGCCTCCAGAGATTGTGGATGTTTCAGCACTGGAGATTTTTAAGAAGAGATTTGTCATTTGTCTAAAATGGTATAGGGTTTCCTGCCTGAGCAGAGGGTTGGAGTTGATGACCTTCAAGGTCCCTTCCAACTACTACTACTACTACTACTACTACTACTACTACTACTACTACTACTACTACTACTTCTTCTTCTTCTTCTTCTTCTTCTTCTTCTTATTATTATTATTATTATTATTATTATTATTCGAAAACTATGTGTAATTGTATGCTACCTGGTGATTGTAAGGTGTATGTTGATCAACTTCTGGATTACAAATTTTGTCTATTATGTTCCATGAAAGGCAAAAAGTCAACTTTCTTTAAGCGAACCTCAGAAACTCGATTTTTCCAACTACAGTATTTGGATTTCTTGACAGAAATGCGGAAGGATTTGCCATGGCCTTCTTCAAAATATTAATTTGCTTCCCTAGCCTATTCTGTAATCCTGGGATTTCCTTGTGGTCTCCCATTCACGTACTAACAATCAAAGGTAGGAACTGTGGAAGCAGGTTAACAGAGTCTCCTACTGCTAGAGATTTGGGGAAAAAAAGTTATTGCAATACATCTGGAGGATATTGCTCTCAAGAAGGCTCAGCTATTAGTCACATTTCCTTGTTTCGCAGAAATCTGCAGGCAATATAGGAGCGCATTAGTATCACCCCATGTGCCACGTAATTCAGATTCACCAACTTGGCACCACCTAAAAGTTGGATGACCTCACATTCCAGTGTACCAAACCAGGATTTGGGACACCCCAATACTTTTGGTCCATGTT